TGGAGAAAATATACATTACATGGCATACAATACGGATGTTAAGAATATTCGGTATGAGAAAGAACAGTAAAGAAAAAGAATTAAATTATCTTCAACACACACACACACGAATATGTAAAATGTTTGTAATAGACCACGGTGGTGTTTGTAATGAAATATCCAATTATACTATTATCCAGGAAGTCACAATATGACAATACTTCATCTCTTAAATTTAGATTTCTTGTTAAATAAAGCAAGATTTTTATAAAAATAGTATAGTCATTAGTTTGAAATAGATTAATTTACTTTTCCTTGTAAGGTTAATTTTGACCCCATATTGATTACTATTTTCCCCTTTTATCAGACCTAAAATAGGCAGATCAGTACACAATGGCATTCGTCTACAGTTTCATTCAGTGTATAACAATTTCAGTGTATAAAACATTTTACACAATCTATTATAATATGCCTTGGTTGATTTTTATGTCTATACTTTTTGTACTATAGCTAGCTTGTGAAATTTCTAGCATTATTCACATGCTATTAAAGCCACATTTAGCCGAACATTTCGTAATTTTCGATTGTTTAATGCTCTTCAACTTCGTATTTGATTTGGCCTTCAAACTGTTATGATTTGAGCGCCACTGATGAATCTTATGTAGACAAAAATCTCGTCTGACGTACCAAGTTTTAGGCCAGATATCTTTGATTAATTTTACAACCTGTGACTCGATGTCACATCTTGTAGACAATTCGTTCCAGAGGGTATCACCAGCCAAGTAGTCAACACTTTTGTTTTGAAATGAAATATTGATATGTCCATTTTCTTCAAATTTACTGTTTAAATAATGTTATATTATTCAAAACCCCTTAAGATTTTCTACCCAAAGTCATAGGTTGCCTAAGCCGTATTTGGCCTGACTTTACGGAATTTTGGGTTTGAAGATCTTCAACTTCGTACAATGTATTTGATTTAACATTCCATCTATTTGATTCCTTCAAGCGCCGTCTGGTTTTGTGAAAAGAATTGTTTTTATAAATATTTTACATTAACGGATTACATAAACCAAGCAGTTTATTATTTGCGTTCAATTTGTATGCTCTTAAAATTCTGGTCATTAACACATTTGTGATACTAGTTTTTAAGTTAACGCCTCATTTAAAGGCCGGGAGGCGAAAAATACCAAAGGGACATTCAAACTCATGAGTCGAAAACAAACTGACAATACCATGGCATAAAACGAAAAACGACAAAATGACCAACAGACAGTACACAAAGCACAACACAGAAAAATAAGGACTGAACCCGGGGTGATCTCAGGTGCTCCGGAATGGTAAGCAGATCCTGCTCCAAATGTGGCACTCGTCGTGTTGCTCATTTAAGTACAAACCCGGTGATTAGCCTTATTCGGTAGGTAACATTTGAGGAAAAGAGGAAGGGATTGTGGTTACAACAATTGGAATATATCCGTCGTTATATGTGAAACAGATATATTTAATAACGGTTAACCAACTCGTGATGGCGTCCAAAGGTTTATCAGTACTACGGTGGATGGCAATGATGGGGAATTACACCCGACCAGCAGCGGCAAGACCGTCAGTGAGTCAAATATGAATATGAAGCTTTCGACCATTCATGACAGCCTATTGCAGTGGTACTTTATTTGTGGAATCGTAACACTTATCACGCATTACATTGAATAACATTACATAACATTACAGATAGAAAACGTCGTTATTGGTGCTATGCAGGTTGTTACTGTTCGTATGCAGCTTTCTTCTAAAGACTTCGCCATTGTTTTTGGGCAATTCAGTATATCATCTCCTCAAATGTAATAACGACGACTTCTAATGATATACTAATAGAGCAGCTGGTTCAGTTCTTATGCAATGAAACTTATTCTTTTCTTCGATCGTGACATCACCGAATGAGACTTATCATCGGATTTGTACTTGTATGAGCATCACAACGGGTTCCACGTGTGGAACAGGAACTGATTACCCTACCGGAGGACTTGATCACTCCTGATTTGTGTTTCGTTCACGTTTGCTCAATCTTTACTTTTCTATGTAGTGGTCTGTGGATTTGTTCGTCTTTTTCGTTTTTTTTTTTGTTTTTTTTTGCTTTGCGTTATTTTGAATATCACCGGTAATAAAAAGAATAAGTTGTTTTATGAAAAAAAAGAACCGCAATAATGTTCCATAGATTTGTGTGGAGTTTTGTAATTTAAAAACCATTTTGTTTTGTATTATAACATGGCATTAAAGTTTTAGAATTAATGTTTTAGACAAATTTATATACACTTGTATAGCGTCGTCCAATTAAGTAGAGCAATTAAATCAACACTGTTGCTTAATCGGCCAAGATTCATTTACAAGAAATATATGAGATAAAAGAGATTAGACACATCATTCATCAAAGCATGATAATTCGAATACTTGTTGCAGGTGTACTGATAAGTAGTAATTAAAGATTAAAGATGCATAGCATTCTTAAAACTTTTAAGGTCTTTTATGCTCCTGCATCCTACAAACTGTGATAAGCGTACACTTGTAGGTGTATTGTCCAACATTTGATTTCCAACACTGAATGACCAGTAGAATAACACTGTCGGAATGTTTTTTCCGCCAAATCTGTTTAGGATATTATTCTCCACTGAAGAGACACTGTGTCTTCATTTAGTCTTACAATACTGTCTCTGTTTACTTTTCGATATTTTTTCATTGATACAATGATTGATTTATTTACAAAAAGACCCCAAAAATATCAAATATAATTTTAAATGCTGTACTCGATAATTTTAAATGGTTAAAGTTTTTCCAGATATTTTCCAGAGTAAAATGAAGAGAATTTCCTTGCAGGCAGTCCAGTTATAATAAGTTGTCTATTTTCAAGTAATTAAGTATACCGGTACACTTCTTCAGCTAATGGAAACATCTACGGAACATATAGAAAAGGACTAATCATGGAGACAAAGGGAAAGTGTCGTAAATAAATCCAAAGTATCACTGTTCATATTCTGGAAAGTGCTCGAAAGACTGGAAAAGTCCCGCTTATCCATTCTAGATTTTTTTACTTCCGACGAGCTCATATCAAAACAATCGTTTCAGTTGAAAATACATTTACTAGTATAGTCGAGGTATATTTTCATATTTGCATATTTGCATATATATAATATATAGAGAATATCATACGGCTTTTTCAATATCACATCCGTATCAACCCGAGACACCAATATCATCCCAAGAGCTCTGCTTGAGGGATTATATTGGTTGAGAGTTGATACGGTGTGTGATATTGAAAAAGCCATATCATATACACTTTATTATATACATGTACCTCACGTAAATGTTTTTTATGTGACATGACGTCATACATATAAGGGGATTTGAAATGACGTCATACAGTTAGAGGTTTGACATGACGTCATACAGGTTAGGGGTTTGATAAAGCCTTTGCAACAGTGACTGCAATCGATGACATGACGTCATGCAGATTAAAGGTGTGATAAAGCCTTTGCAACCGTGCTGATATCGATATCATCACGGGTGGCTGATACAGCACGCTTGCCAATGACTGTATTACACATACAATTTATCTGTATTTACTACTAAGCCATATAATAAATATATATATATATATAACCAGTCTAAAAGGGTACAACATCACCAATGTTGTACCCTATTAGACTGGTTATATATTATATTTTGTAGTGTACTGTATTATATTTATATGATCCATCGCCCCGTAAGATTTATCGTTGGCTATTATTCAGTCATTTAATATAATATATATATATATATATATATATATATACATAAAGTCTCTGATTGAATATATAATAAAAGCTATAACACAATTTTTCCATACGTTTCGGCCATTACGGCCTTCTTCATTGGAATAAATTACAACATTGAAACAACAATTATATCGCTTGGATACATTACGTTACAATTACTACTATGACGTTCATTTGCCGCGTTTTTTTCTCTTTTGGGTTATGAATATTTTTACTATCGTTCGTACGTAGTGTTGAGTCAATCAGGTTCTAAAGTTTTTAATTTTTTTATCCAAAAGGCTTCTTTAGTTTTTCGGTAAATTTCTGTGCCAAACACTTTTTCTATTGCAGTTACTTTTAGATTTTTTATCGAATGGTTATGTTGAATGAAGTTTTTCGCATACACTACACCCACAGTTTTACAGTCTATTTGTCCCTGAATATTATATTCTTTTCCCGTGTTATCACAGAATACTTTTGTTTCATTAATGTGTGAACATAATGCGCAATTGTTCCCTTATGGTCCACAGCCATTACTCTGTTTATATAATAATAAATTATGCTTCTTGTGCACTAAGATGTCTTTTGTATTGTTGTCGCGTTTATCGCTACGATAGGCGGATCGGGGAATATTTTCTTAAGTCTGTTAGATTGATGTAGAATTTTAAATGTTTTCTGAGAATTGAATGTATATTTGGAAGCGCTTTGGAATAAGTAGTTACTAAAGGTACTCTGTTGTTTTCTTTCTTTGTTTTATACTGTAATAGTTCGTCCCGGTTTAACATGTCGACTTTTTTCAATTGATCTTCGGTTGACGAATTATTATATCCCCGTTTTCGCAGGTGCGTTTTTATTTCTTCTGTTCTTCTTTTGTAATCTTCTTCTGTTGAGCAACTCAGAGGGTAAAAGAGCATCACAAGACATGGCTTAGCCCACCCTTTTCGAAGGTAAATTCCTATAAATGCCAGAAAATATGACGTCATTTTCACTTATCCATTAGTTGATAGTTTTTTTTTATACATCTGCTTTACTATATTACTACTAATTTACATTTTACTCCTGAAAGGTAATTTTTTATGAAATGGGAATGATTTTATTTTTCGAAAATCCAGATTGCTAACAAAGGTACCATTCTACTGATTATTAACTATGTACATTTTATCTCCTTAAAGCATATTGCCTACTGTTTTCGTTTAAGATAAAATGAAATTAAAACTAAGTGGTAACATGATCACTTTCTATTTGTCAGAAGCTATGAGGTACTGAGTGTTAATCGAATTAATGATGTAATATATCCGTATACACTACAGTGTTTTATCATAAATTCTATAATTTCATTTTGAAATAGTATTGCTGAATAATATTTCATATAACAGAGCAACAGGAATAGAAGGTTATACAAGTGATAAAGAAAAAAATGTTAGTGTCTGACAAATGTAAAGAAATGTCAGAAATTAAGTGTTTTTGATAAGAAAAAGGATTCTAGACGACTGATAGTTTTGTCTTACAGAAGGATTTATAAGAATTTCATGCAATTTTATATACACGTTACGAAGCCAGAATGCAGATTTTTCAACAACTAAATGAATTTGTCATAATTTTGTTAATGATATGGTTAGATGTTACAACATCTTTAATAAAACCAGGGTATGTATTGATTTAATATTTATATGTAAATTTACTATTTATAAAATTTTCAAAGGAGTAGGCCCGGTAAGACCCCTTTTTGGCCCCAAAATATAGCGTTTTTACAAAGTTGTTGAAAATGTAAACTTTTAGCTATTCATTGGAAAGTAGAATACTTTTGTTACATAAATATTGGCTTTTTTGACAATACAATCGACATGCATCAGGTACTAGCATCATTATTTCGTACAAAAATACTGAAATCTTCACAATTTTAGCATTTGTGCTTATTCTAAGACGGTTTTTGTCTAAACTGGAAGTGGCCGCATTTGTGTTCAATCTTAATATTTAAATATATATTGTATTTAATGATAATATCTAACATATCTAAATTTTGAGACTGAACACGAATGCGGCCACTTCCATTTTAGACAAAAACCATCTGAAAAGTGACGTTTTATGGCATATTTGATAGATTTTTCATATTTAGGTCGAATTTGAGCGTCTTTGATAACCAAATCAGTTCAAATCTTTAACAGAAACTAATTGAATCGACTGAAGTAGACACTTAAGTGTTTAAAAAATGTCAAAAATCTTTCATCAGATGTACTTCGAATTTTAGCCCGAAATTAACCCTTACCGGACCTTCTCCTTTTCAAAACACGTAGGCTTTCTAGACCCACATATAAATTGTCTTAGCCGTATTTGGCTCAACTTTTCCGATATTCCGTTTTTTTTATGCTCTTCAACTTTGTATATTATTTGACTTTCCAACTGTTTTGTTTCGAGTGCCACTGGAGAATCTAATATAGACGAAACGCGCGTCTGGTGTACCAAATTATAATCCTGGCATCTTTTTAATGAGTTTTTATATTCCTGTCATTAAAGTTTAAATGCTGTTGGGAAAATTCTTTCCCGCAGGATAATGTGATGACTAAGTCTATCACGTTTGAAGTCTACGGTTTAGATTAACTTGTGGTTGAAGCTATCATTAAAACAAAAATACAAACTTACATATAATGTTTCACTGATTCGTATTTTTGTACAGTATACGCGTAATCTTTTTTTATGATCCTGATAACACTAATTTATTGTTTAATGGAAAGTTATTTTATTAAGAATCTTTTTTATTTTACATCTAGCAAATTTCTTTAAATTCACTTTTTAGATATACTGGTATGTATTTTCACTCAATTTTTTTTTCATCTCATATATCCATTTTAAACTTGAAATTTAGGATGAGTCTACAAAAATGGTCTGAATCATATCAAAATCTTCTTTTAGTGTAAGCAATATCTTATTGTGAAAATAATAACATAAACATAATAAATATGACAACTTTATTAGGATGGAAAACAAGTGAATTATCTTTTTTACAAATTCATCTCATATAAATGTTCTTTTTGAAATTGATGTTGATGATTATATTCTTGGGGTCTCCCTTTCCACAATGAGCATGCGGAATCGGTATCATATAGCCTCCTCCAGGGAATTTGTAGAATAATTCTTAAAATTTTCAGTGATTATGTAAAATCACTGGTCATTTTCAGGGATTATAGATTATCACTAATGATTTTAGTGATTATGCAAAATCCTTGAAAAATCAGGGATTCTACATAATCCCTGATTATACAAGTTCACTGTAACATATACACGACTGGAATATTTACATGTGCTTCATTGGTTCTGTGGTCACAATCGGAATTGATTGATCGATACAGAGTTTCAGAGACAGTATAGTATCTATCTGCTTACTTTTTACAACGAACTCTGTTATACACCCTACATGTCCATCATGCCAATATGGCATCATTATTGGTGACACCAACTACTGGGCGTAACTTGTTTAATGTGACGGGTAGTGCGTTCTGTCGACGAACCTTGTGTGACTGTCACTCTGTTTGGAATTTCTTGCGATCGGGCTTTCTTCCGATTTGGGAGTATCAAAATTTGTATAAAATCTTTACATCGTCATGAGTCTGGAAAAGTTGAGAATATGTTCAGCAGACTATAAAAGATCTGTCATCAACACATAAATCCTTAAACGACAAAAATCATTGAGATATGACAAAACTCATCAAAGATACCAGGCTTATAATTTTGAGCGCCAGGCGCGTTTCGTCTACATAAGACTCATCAGTGACGCTCGAATCAAAGTAGTTCGAAGGCAAAAAATTAAATACGAAGTTGCAGACCACCAAAAACCGAATTTCGGTCAATGAAATTATAAAGGGTAAATTAAATAAGGTGCAATAAAAATCTGTATAGAAACAGCATTTTACTCTATAATCATCGTGTAGCAGGTAAAAAAAAAACCCGAAAATTAAAAAAAATAATAAAATATACATCAAGAGTAACTGTAGTTTGAATTTGTCTCTTGTTTTCCCGATTCATCTTCAATAATATCACATAAAGACACTGTTAGTAAAATCCTATGGGGATGCAAATTGAATTAGAGTACAAAGAAGCTCTATTCCAAAAACTACGTGCAAATTAGTGGTATAAATTAGATAAGAATAGAATAAAAAAACATTGTATTAAATACTACATTAGCTTTTTATCAAACTATAATGTTTAAGTTTTTAAATATTTCAGGAGAAGGGTTTGTCCAATTTCACGTGCTTCATCTCAAGTAGTTCCATCACCACAAACTTACATTAGACCATTCATTGTACCATGCAATGGGGAGAAGTGTGGTAACTCAAGGTAATCCAAATTAAAATTTATGTTATGAGTTATGCTATTACGTGGAAGTAATTACACGTTTTTCAGAGTTTGACAGTCTTTTATAACTTCAGACAGCTTTCAACATTGTTTTTACCAAACGAAGTTTTTCCACAAAAAGAATATCCATAAATTAGCATCCAATTTTGTTGAATTGGTCTTCTAGACTTTGTCTAAAATGAAGTAGATAGTTTTCTATTAAGTCAGAAGAAAATCATCGTTAACAAGAGTAGAATACTCTTAATTGGTGGTTGAAAATGGATGGTAATTGCTAAGTTTTTCTAGACTAACTAGCTTCATTAAATTGAATATTTTTCTTAAAGTATTCAAAGCCTGAATTTATAAAACAAAAACAAAAAGCAAAATATAAAAAATACAGGAAATTTTATACAACATATGTAAAATCGAACGTAATATAACACATCTTAAGACGAATGTGAATATGAAAACCCGATGCTGTGAAAACAAGCACCTAACAAGCATGAAATTATAAAAGACAAAATGGTGTTTTGTACGTACTGTACATGTTGTTACTCTATTCTCATAGTTTGAGCGCTACATGATGTTTGAAATAGTTGAATATTTGCGCAAAAGATGTGAAAGACACTCTTAAAAAACAATCGAATACTACTCGTATTTCAAAAGATGCAAGTAAATTAAAAATAAATAAAAATTCCGATTGAGATAAGTAAAATTCTTCTGACAAATGTTGAAATAAAAATTAATCCAAAATCTGTTTCAGATAGAAACGATATTAACACTGCATTTGCGAAGAAACACCGAAAATATATTTTTTTTTTTCATATTTTACTTATGACATGCACTTAATAAAAACAGGTGTTGTTTCACGATATTAAAATTTTAAGTTCATGAATACGGTTTAGGAGTGCATTTTAATGGTCCTTCTATATAGTATACATAACATAACATCACGATTTCCAATTAGAATGGAATAATACACTTATAAACTCTCAATTTACTATTTAACTAAGTAGGGTGAGTGTCTATAATAGGTCACAAAATTGTGTACAAGTTCCGTTACTGGCGATTTAGAAATTAAATTCATACATTATTTCGTAAGTTTGTACTTCGCATTAAGTGGAAATTTTCAGAAATAAAATCGCTAGTCATGGAGGGTATCAATAGCCCATTAGCTCAGTGTTTTGGTAATGAAATGAAATACGGATATTTCCTGTTATGAAATATATGAAAGAATTCAGGAATATATCTCCCTCATGCAAATCTATGATTTCATGTCCGAGTTTGGTTATACTTTTAGTACTTTTCTGGTATACAATGGGCCAATCAATTTAATTTCTGAATGTGGGTCGGATGGTTACTTTGTCAAAGACCCCCTTAAGAACATTTTCAGGCAAATTTCAATCCCTCAAATGCTTGGCATTAAACCCCTCAGATGCCAAATCGTGCCATCAACCCCTCATTTTTACATATTTAGACATAAAAAGACCCCTCAGAAAAAATAAAGGGGTACCTCTCAGATATATTATGAGCCAATCGGTACCCCTGAGAAATTACTTTTGATACCCCTCTCAGATAAAAACATACACCGCCTTTTTCAGATATTAAATGGAATGGTCCAATCTCAACGTTTGTAAAAGGTTTTTTTCACAAATATTTTAGCCTCGAGTATCACTGAGGAAACTTTTTTTTGTCGAAATGCGAACCTGGCTTAGTAAAATAGGTACCGTTAATGTAATTAAAGATATGAATGAGTTACTGAATATCAGAGATTTATAATTTTGCATTATTTTACAGAAAACAACAAACCACGATAAATCTATGAAATACGAGTTACCACAAAACGCTTTTGAGAACTGTGAGAAACCTACTATAGGTCATTGTTTTTTTTTTTGTACTTCAAAAGTTTCTTCGGAAAAATTATATATTTTGATTATTTTTAAGATGAGATTTTTTTCCGGTATAAGGGGGATAACCCAGTTTGAACTATGATCCGTTGTCAAGCATTATACTTGCGTCAATATTTACCCTTGGTATAATCTATGTATTTATAAGCTATGTCGCTTCTCTGCATAACTCTTCGAACGTGAGAAATCAAGAATTCTCAATTAGAGACGTCCAGAGAAGCGATTATACCTCATATATTCGCATCTTTAATTTTGATCGGTTGCTAGATTTCGTATTTTTCATGTATTTTCTTCCATCAGATGAATTTCGTTCATAATTCATCACCGCCGTGATATGCACAGAAATATCTCTTTGTGACAATTTCTGCGATGGAATTTGACAAAAATGTAGCAACTTTAGGTTAAAACAAATAATACAGACACGGCCCAACGACAAAAACTGAAATACAGGCTTCTGACAGACACATGAAGAATGTTGCTGGTTTAACATGTTTGTAAGCGCGAAAACCTCCCACATAATATGTTACAATGTTTATTGTAATGTCTTTAGAGCTCCCCCTCTTATATCATGTATATATGTGGTTTCATATGTGCACAACCTACTTTGCATTCGGAACTCTTTACAATATTCATTGGTAAAGACTGTAAAATTATATCACAGTAAATCCCTATAAAGGAATCGGAAATATGTAAATGACGAAAATGTTATTGGTTCCAAAATGTATTCAGGACTTTTGAACATCCTTTAATTACTGTTTCTCTTATTTGAACATTTGTGTAAAACAAATCATGATTTGTTGATACTTAAGGGATAAAGGGATAAAAGTCAACGATATTTTGTGTCACACTAATGTGATTTTGTGACACACTAATGTGATAGCGGCACTTAATTCTTGACTGCGTTTGTCAAACATATTTAGTGTGATGTCAGTCTCAGTGCTTAATTCAACCCTGACTGAACAGTTGTTAAACTATAAATTCAGAAATTATTGCGAGGTTTTTATTAATGCGAATAATGCGACTGTGTGAGTATCGCAATAATAAGGACCCTCATTCTGATATCTGATGCATATATCTGTATGCAGCTTTTCCTGAAATCGCAATAATATATCTCGCATTTATGTCCATTCTTCAAAAATCGCAATAATAAATGCACGCAATAATTTCTGAATTTTCAGTATATATCCCCGACTGTCCATGTTTATATATTTGAGGGTTGCTGATTAAGGTAAATCCAGATAGGCGCTTCGGACGTACGAAATTTATAAAAAGTAAAATAACAAAAATACCGAACTCCAAGGAAAACCAAAAACGGAAAGTCCCTTATCAAATGGCAAAATTAAAAGCTCAAACACATCAAACGAATGGAAAACAACTGTCATTTTAATTATGCGACAATGTTTGTAATCTCAAGAACGCATATATATGTGGACACAAGACATTTTCACTTTATGCGGGACTTAATTGTAGACATGATCCTGTTCAGGAAAAGAAATTTTAACTTTTTTTTAAAACTAAATTTACCTCGATGGGCGTCTGTTAAAACAATTTCAAGTCTGATGCAAGAAACATGTTTTTTTGGAAAAAATGTCATTTATGTTTAAATAAGATGGATTTTTCTTCATGCAACATACTTGACTTCATCTTACCGTGTTGAGAAGTAATAACATTTGTGTATATTTCTATCATGGCATTCTTATCATTATATGGTTTAACAAATATTAAACTATCAATCCAAATTAAAAAAAATCTTGAAATTTTCTGACATTCGTATGATTCATCAGAAGTATTTTATGAAATTATCTTTGGTCTATCTACAACGGCTGTTCAGAAAGACGATCAGAATTTGAAAAGTAGATTTTTTTAACTCTTGTCGGATCCAGAAATACACTTTGGTTTTAACATCTTTATATTTCTCCGTTTTTTACAAATAAGAGGTTTTGCATCATCGTTTTTGTGAGTTATTCATTACGTTGGTTGTAAGATAAATTTGCCTGTTTAACTCGTTCTTGTAGCTCAATCCAAATAGTTCGGTATAAATATTTCTGGAAATAAACGACACGATAAGAATTGTAAACGTTACTAAACAGTTACCTAATCGACAAAACAATAGTCATCTAGAGGTCACTCGAACAGTCTTTTTCAGTTACTGTAGACAAATATCCGTACAGACACAGTATATTAATGAAAACAACTGTGTTGTTGTTTTTTTTTTAATTTTTTTTTTGAGCATCCGAAACGCTTCCTGGATTGGGAACGCATAAAACTTTATTGGGAACGCATAAAACCAAAATTTTAAAAGCCATCACTAGAATACATAAAAGAGAGGCGAAAGATACCAAATGGGCATTCAAACTCAAGTCGAAATTAAACTGACAAAGCCATGGCAGGAAAAAAGGGAAAAGACCAAAAAGACAAACAACAGTACACAAAACACAACATAAAAAACACGAACCCCACCAAAAAACGGGGGTGATCTCAGGTGCTGCTGAAGGGTAAGCAGATCCTGCTCCACATGTGGCACCTGTCGAGAGCTGTATTACCAAAAAGACCTAAAGGATAACAAAACAAGAATGTGTCTATAGTTCACGGATGACCCACTCGCACTATCATTTTCTATGTTCAGTGGACCTTGAAATTGGGGTCAAAACTCTCATTTAGCATTAAAATTAGAAAGACCAAAAACTTTAACCTGAAGCGGGACAGACGATCGAACGGACGGACGAACGGATGAACGAACGAACGAGCGAACGGACGCACAGACCGAAAAACATAATGCCCCTCTACTATCGTAGGTGGGGCATAAACAGTCCTTCTAATATAAACTTTGCCTGAGGAAGTTGGAACCTTCTAAATTTCTAAATTGTGTAAAGCTCTCAATCGACCGTTGTTTTCCTGTCGTCCTTTTTCTGTTTTTCATGGTGTTGTGTGTCCTTCGAATATTGGTCTTTTTTGTCACGTTTGTAATTTTTCAATAATCGAGGAAGAAACACGATAATTAGATCTGCTACATACTACAATTTACCCAATTATCAATGAATTGAGAAAATTGTTTCTTCACTTAAGATATTTGAAAATGTAGAAATATTTTGCATTCTAAATGTTTGAAGGTTAATCAAATTCCATCTGAAAAAATATTTTTATAAGAGTTATGTAAAACAAGTGTGTGTTAGGATTGCAATAACATGCATTGATACAAGTAAACACAATACTGGAGTTTAAATAATCAATAAATAATACGTATTCAAATTTCAGTACCAGGCTGCAAAATAATTACAATCCTGTACCGAATTTCAACTCTAGTAATACCACCGTTTATTGTAGTATGTTGCCAGGTTATCAATGCTTTTATTCTGACCAAATGACAATACTTTTGTATCGGCTTGATTTAAATGATAATTTTGATGTTTGTGAATATTCTTGTGCAATACGTAATATAGTTAGTGTATATAAATGTCGAATATAAGAAAAAAAGTAAGAAAAATGATAATTTTCATGGGAATATTTCCAGTTCATAAAATGATTAAACTGTACTAAAGCTAAGTTCGAAACTCCATTAGGTAAAGAGAGGCGAAGGATACCAAAGGGATATTCAAACTCATAAATCGAAAAATAAACTGACAACGCCATATAGCTAAAAAAGAAAAAGACAAACAACAGTACACAAAACACAACATAGAAAACCAAAGACTGAGCAACAGGAACCCCACCGAAAAACAGGGGGAGATCTCGGGTACTGCGGAAGGGCAAAGTTAGCTTAGACGATTTGGGGTATCATGTAAATTAGTCCTTTTGGTTTCTGTGATACCCAACAATTGATATGTTTAGTTTTCCTACATTTTGGTCTCGACCGCTCCTGATAAACATTACTTCAGAAACACGTGATTTGCGCACGGGAATCATATAATACGTTTTCAGCTTTAATGTTTACATGTTTAAAAAATAATCAATTGATACGTTCAAAAAGGGGCGCAAGATACAAAAGGTACTATCAAAGTTCAAAAGTGGAAGAAAAACAAGACAAAACTATGTTTTAAACGAAAAACGACGAAAGAACAAGCAAGTCAACATAAAACTACATAGAACACTAATTTAAGACTGCGCAAACCGAACCTCACCCAAACGAACTCCATCGAAATCGAGCACTGAGTGATATTTTCTTATCAAAATATCAGTTACTTGGTTAAGCTTAACTCCCTTTTCAAGACAAACAATCTGGTTCGAGTGTGTCATTGATTCAGCATTTTACTTTGTAGTCGAGTTGTTTACAAAGTAGCTGTACGAACCGTGTTCTATCGTCAAGTTGTCCATGATGCTGTGAGAAAATGCTGTCCAGGCTGGACCAATTTTGAACCAAATGATGAACAATGCATGAAGCGTAAGTTAAGTTATGTTTTATTGACAAAAAGAAACGGAGATTTCATTAATTTAAAGTATCTTGGTATCTATTAGTATCTTCCTATTAATATGTAAGCAAACAAGCGCAAGAAATAATAATTTGACGCTGACAAGGATTTTGAAACAAATACATGATACCTTTATAAGAAAATCTTGATATCTATGAATATCTTCCTATTGATTATAAAACCAAACAAGAGCCAGTTATTTGGCACTGACAAGGATTGTAACCGTTCTAAAAAACGAGTATAATGATTTTTGTAAAATATCTATTTTTTATTCCTGTGTTTAGTCTCAACAATTACAAAAAAATGCATTGATCGATTGCTATCAAAAAAATGTTGGTATCACTTTTCATTTTTCAAAGTGGGAGGTCTCCAATTAGGGGCAATTTCTGCTGAGAGAGAAGCATGCAATAAAACACAACTTGCGTTGATTTCTGTGATATTAAATCTTATTATGTTTGCAGTTTATTTAAAAAAAAAAGTTTGAGATATATTTGGCTTAAAGCGTCACTGATGAGAAATAAATTTCAAAATGCGCATATTGTATGTACATCAAATTTACATCGCTGCGTCTATGATGGCTGCTGGTGAACTGCAAGTCTACAAGGGTTTCAGTGGTTTTTACGTTCTAGCCTGCTTACTCTTTGATATTGAACCTTGAGAACTTTATGTAAATTTGAATGTTTTCAATTGAGAGATTTTGATGTTATCCTTCCGATGTATATGTGTTCTTGTGCTGATTTTGATATTATTGCTATATATACTGTACAATGTCTCATGTTTGTTGCTTATACTATCATAATTGTTAATTGTAAATGCCCCCTGTGGGACCGTGATTGGAATAATAAAATATTTGATTTGATTTGATTTGATTTATATTTTTGCTCTTCAACGTACGATTTCGTACCACTGATGAGGTAAAAAAATAAAATAACGCACATGGTGCATCAAGTAAATTGATATCTTGAAATTTGTTATTTAGATAATTCTTGCAATTAACATTCGTTCATTACCAAACTGTGAATTTTACCTTCCTTTTAGCACGTGGTTCTTCAAAGGGACATTTCCAAATTGTAAGGCCTCTGCAGTCATCTCTTGAAAGTTGACACCTATGATATAAATACCACTTCATCATTCAATGTGTTGATAGCCAGAATAATTGTTTTTGTATTCTATAGTCTTGTAAATATTTACATTTCTGTTTTTTTTTTATTTGTTTCCTTATAAACAAATAATGTATATATAGCTACAGTGTAAACTCATCAGAACCTAAAATCTTAAAAAATTAACAGAAGGCGATGTGAGGCAAACGTCAAGAAGACAGGAACCCTACAACATAAAAAAGTCAATAGACTTCTAGAGGTCAACATACGTTCTTGAAAAATAAACAAGTGCTTATACTTCAATATTTCAAGCTATTAATCATTTGAGTCTGGAAGACAAATGTGAATAGCTTAACAGAAATTTCTATGGCTCTGTCATTACTACCACATTCTTTTAAATAATAAAAAATAAAATGAAAGATATAAGAAATAACAAGCACTGACGAGGTTCCTGACTTTGACAAGCTAGACTGCTTCCATTAACTGAGATAATTCTTTGATATGGGGATATTTATTGTTGTTTTGGTTGAACTGGTTTTTTTGTATTTGATTATACCGGTTTTATAGAAGGAAGTGATTTTAACTGTACTTGTTTTTATTGAACATTCTTTTATGAGTCTTTTGTCAAAAGAATGAGGCTTGAGATCTAAAGAAAATAGTTGAATACAGCCACTGACATCGGTTCTCTAAAAGCACTCAATCTACTGATATCTAACACTCAAATATCGGTAACTGCACTTCCGAAAAGATTTCATTTAGGAATAGTATCATTATAAATAAAAACTGCATATTTTTCAGCTGTGTGTAAAAGTGAATGCTTAAATGGAGGCTCGTGTAGAGGACCAGATTACTGCGCATGTCCACACAACTTTACAGGCCCTTTGTGTGAACTAGGTAAGAAAGAAAACAAGGATGGTAGTTAATTGCATTCATCAGAATTTCTTTTTCGAAGATTTCTCTCCACATCACTTGAAATTGTTTACACTTAAAACATCTTTGAATTCATTACTATTGTTAAAATCAATACATTTTAATCACTTCACTTCAAATTTTCACTTGAACTGTAAAATGCATCTATCAATTTTACTAGAAAAATATGTCTTCTTTCAACTTTTTAAATAACCTTTTCCAAATTAAGTTATTATCAATACTGAAGATAAAATAGAGAATGAAAACGGGGAATGCGTCTTAGAGACAACAACCCGACCAAAGAGCAGAAAACAGCCCAAGGCCACCAAAGGGTCTTCAATTTTCAACTCAGCGAGAAAATCCCGCACCCAGAGGCGGGCTTCAGCTGAGCCCTAAAGAGTCGTAATGAGTTCATAAGAGCATTCTCTTACTCCATATTGGTAAGTCTAAGATGATAGATGACATGGGACAACAATTTCAAGAAATTGTACGAAAAGGAACGCTTCATTGAAAAATGTCATCATCAGTTGCTCTGCTTTTCTTATATGATTTACATCATATACAAGACACCGGTTTGAATTGCTGGCCAGATGATACAAGTATAGCATGAACATTGTTACTTTCTCAAAGAACTTGTGATCCTATTTTTTTTGTAGGTCAATCATTTCCTTTTCAACCTACCCTCATATTGATCTATAGTTAAATCTATGTTTACCTTTTTTTTTTTTTGGGGGGGGGGGGGGGATAAAGGATATTTGGTTAATATACATGAGACAACAATTTCATGAAATGCTTTGAAAAAAACAATTAGTAAACATAATTATACATACCACACGGTCGAAAGTTCCAGACAATTCCTTCAACGAGGCATCAAAGAAATCCCACTTTACAGCAAGACAAAAAATATAACTATCTTTATGGTTGTATTGCGTTGTTTTATTGGAACCATTGATGACAAAAACACACAATATCCCCTGTAAACATCATCAGTTGTCTCCTCCTTAAAAGTATAGGTCCATGTAATTCTCGATTTTGTCCCAAAACTGGGGAAAAACAGCATCCCAAAATGACTAACTGAGGAACTTTTATATCCATGTTTTCTGTTTGCCATAAGGGTAGTTACTATTATTTCTTACAGACGTGAATGAATGTGATACTGGGAACCACAATTGTCAACAATTATGTAACAACACTGTTGGTGGTTACTCTTGTAGTTGTTACGATGGATTTAGACCTATAAACGATAGAGAATGCGAATGTAAGTACATGTAGTTTCAATTCGTTTACCCTTTTCACTCTCGGTATATCACTATATGAATCTGATAATTTTTGTCAGCTGGCCACTTTGACAGGAACGCAGCACAGTTACTTGTCTCTGAAAAAAAATACTTATTTATTTAAATATAACACAGGCACTTGTCTCTTAAAAACTTTACCTTTATATGTTATGTAAGGTATATAGGTAAAATAAATTCAGAGACACGTGCCTGTGGTACGCCAGGCGCGTAGCAACCCGTACACGTAAAAACGCAGTTGCGTACACATCGAAATTTTACAAAAATAAAAATATGGTAAATCTAGTAAGAATAAAACTAAAGTAATAAATTAAATTAAAAACTGTTATACAAACATGTTAATAATCACTTTGTAGCTATATTTCATTCCTGGAATTACTTTTCATTTACGGAACCAGCATCAAACAATTAAAATGGTCCTCGAGGTGTCAGGAAACAATTCTATGCCTCCTTACCCAGTCCTGACGTCTTTTCTGAAGATTTCAAAATAACTGACGAAATAAATAATGACGTTCTAAAGAGACCGGGGACAACGGTTCATTCTCATGATTTTCCTGTGAGGTATGGATAGTCTTAAAAACATACGATGATACGTTGTCATAACAGATTTTTTAAACAGTCCAGTCAGACTTAAGTTTAACGGGGATGGTAAAGGGTAATTTTCGTGCATCGTATTTGCCGTTTTTTTAATTTTAATTGACGATCAACGTGTTTTTACTTTTTTATGTTAACGTTCGGTTGTGCAAGACGGTGTCTCGTTCAAAGTGTTTCCCAAACTTACTTATATGTGCTTCGAGATTAAAAGTGCTTATTTTCCATGCTTCGAGATTTAAAGTGCTTTTTTCCGTGCTTTGTAAAATTAAAACACTGTCATTTTGGAAGTTAATAAAAAGAAATCGGAAATACTTTGATGATTTTCCTTATAGATTTCGAGACTTCAAACGTATATATTATATACTTGTCAGTTAAAGGTTTCCAACCTATGATATGCGTTCGTTATTTTTTTTTATCATGTTATATGTTCATGGACGAAATTATTTCACGTTCACCGTGAAATTGTTATTCCTTCTTTGTATTTAACATTTTTTCCCTGCAAGTGCCACCCTTTTAACCTTAACTAACTAGCAAAGAATATTATTTTTAATTTGATTTAATCAAGCTCAACCCACTACACATTAGAAAATCCAAATTCCTAAGCCAACAGTACTTGTTTGTTTTTCTCTAATTAATATTTTTTTTCAATTTTTTTTTCTTCAAAAGTTGACTTAGTCCCAGGAAATTGCGAGAATGCAGGATTTTGCACCATTTATTCCCAGAGCTTCTGGGGGCCTTAAGTGGCCCCCATACCCCCTGCCATTTGACTTTCTCCTCCGGCATTGAGTACACATCATATTGGCCTAGCTGCAACCCTGTACGCAGTTTTCTGTATCATACTTTATTCTTGCATGTGTGACGTATATAATACTGGCTTACAGGTATGTTCTTCTGTAGGGAGGTAATGGTGCACTGGGTACCAGTTAACTGCATTATCCGCGGTGGATACACTGGGATACACATGATAAACATGATACTTGTTTGATAAGTTACAAGAAAAGGAAATTTAATTGATAGTTACCAGTCTCAAAAACATATAGCAAAACTGACTTTCTTGATTAGTGTCATTTCAAGAAAATTACATGCTAATATGTTTTCCAAACCAATCCTTAAATGGCCACTTTATTCAGCTTCAAGCTAATTTAGAAAATGTCTGTGTCGTAAATTTTTGTATTTCAATTTTCCAATAAAATTTGAATACAAATAGTGTTGTTGATAAAACGTATGACATCAAATAGTAAAACTTTTTATTCTCTTAATGGTTATGATGTATTTGGATTTCCAATATTCGGCTCGAGTGGGGTGCTACCTTATTAAGATCATTCCAGAAACACCGTTCGCAAGAACTGCACTGGATATCATATACTCATATAAGAATAGACTTTTAAACGATTTTAAGAATTTCTTTAAAATAAATTTGAAGAGACGTTCCTTCCAAAACAAAAGTTGAATTTTCAGAATTTGTCTTAAATTTTGGGCATTTATCTTAAAAAACGAATAGAAATGCAAATCCCAGTAAATACCAAAATTCAACATAAACTGTGTTTACTGTTGTGTATTTTTAAGTACAAATCCTAGATGTCCTCATTTGCAAACATGTGGTATGAAAACATATTGAACTCCATCAAAATTGATTCAATTTACGCCGGACTGAAATCGTTCGATATTTTTGGAAGTATATCGAAGAAGCGCGATTATTGAAACTTAAAGATAATCAGATTTTGATTGTCTTTATTTAGTACTTAAATTCAATTTTCATATTTGAAACAAAGCATGTGAAAATATTTTTTCTTTCTTTGAAACAAATGTAAAAAGCACTTAGTCTATACATTATTTTGTATTTTCTATTTCTAACAGTGTCTATATATATGTATACATATAAAGTCAGAATTTAAAATGTAAATATAACAACTTTAAACAGAAGTTATATCTTTCTAGTTTGTCCGTTATGCTTGAGAGAGTTTGAGAGCGTAATGAATAAAGTTGATGAACTACAAACAAGACTGAAGACCGTAGAAAGTTCAAAGGTAATAGTAAAAAATTCCATGTCGTTAATAGCTGATATTTATCTAATTACTACATTCATATATATGAAATTAAATCAACATTGTTGAAACTTAACTTATATATTATCAAATAGACTAAAATATTTTGACTCACTTTCTATTATAATTTTTAATTTTAAGTTTTTTATTGTATGTAAAATTGAGAATGGAAATGGGGAATGTGTCAAAGAGACAGCGAGAAAATCCCACACCCGGAGGCGGACTTCAGCTGGCCCCCAAACAAAAATGTGTACTAGTTCAGTAAAAATGGACGTCACACTAAACTCCGAAACATATAAATGAACTAAAATTAAAAAAACATACAAGACTAATAAAGGCCCGAGGCTCCTGACTTGGAACAGGAGTGTTTACTTTTTTTTTTTATAGATAATACAGTCATGTATTTAACTTGACCAAAAAATTCAAGAAATGAAGAGTTAATAACTCAGTTATCACCCTTTAAAGATAATCTCTTTCGATCTTAATTCCGACGTGGACATAATGTTCATAAACTTACCAAAAATAACGATCTTTATTCGATAGGAAGAATTTAAGGACAATGTTAAGGACTTAGAAAGAAATTACCTCGAAGCAATGGAAATGGTCGGAGAACTTCGAGCAGCTCAGTTCAAAGCTCCGAGTTCGACAACTGAAGCGCTACCCAAAGACGACAGTCGAATCAACCCAAGAAATAATTTTGAACTTATTACATCTTTGAGTGATCAGCTTGGTGCCATAGAGGAACAAATAGGTTTTATGATGGGTCAGATGGATTCTGGTAATTAACTGTTATTACGTTTCTGCTTTAAACGGATTTTAACGTTTCAGAAATTGACGCAATTAAATATAATTTTTTAAAACTGTAAACAAAAAACGTATGATTGGTTTACAAAGTACTTAGAATAGACATGCGGCTTATTGCGAAATGTTCTCTTCATTTTGTTGTACGAATAATGAACAAGAACAACGTTTAAACGGCGAATTACGAAAGTAGTTTATAACACAGTCACTTCAAAATATCCAGAAAGAAGTTAACAAAAGTTACATACAACTTTCTATACAAGAGAAATAGTACTCACTCAAATATATGCATAAATCAACATTCAATTATGATATACGCCGTGCGCATTGAAGTATGTATTGTACGTATATTTTGTCTTAAAAAAAGAGAGTAAAACGTTACTCCCTATTTTATACGACATATACAATTTTCGTTTGATGGAATGCACATACATAATTTTCGCATAGACTACTGACAGCATTTTTATTATACAGTGGAAGAAAAGAAATATATCTAAAACAGTAATTCTTTCTTTGCATGGCTATCATACAAGTCAAGATTAACTTTGTAAAACATATACATGATATATCTACTAACGAGAGAGAGAGAATACAACAATCTTAGAATAGTAGCAGTATCTTGGGTTAAGTACAAAGCAGATAGAAGCATAAACAAGATCAAATAACAAAAAAATAAGATAACAAATATTTTCCAGATGATAATGACCAAGGACGAAGGCGAGGACGTGGATAAGTGTCCTATTTTATATGCACAATCACTATGGGAACAAGATCAACAAAAGTATGAAAAGATTACATTGACAAAGATGAATTTGTGTTAATACTGTGTTTTACTTCATATTTCATTTATTGTTTAAATGTTTATGTTATGACTGATTTCGTATGCTTTAATGAAAATTTGCAAATTTTTATACATTTATTTACTTGTACTTGTGTTTTCTATAGAATGTTTGGATTGCGCAATAGTTTTGATTTAGGGCACATCATTTAGCTTTCATGCACCACCAAACAGTACATATTTTATACGTTTAGCTTATCAGAACCTTTCTGTTTTGAGTGATCATCTGCAAGAGAATTATGTTAAGCGACAGCTAGGGATATATTATCGCATATTTAGGGTGAAATGTCCAGTGGTTATAAATAATTGAATAGATACTGAAAATCTTTGGTAACATTTGGAATAATAAAGCTAGCAGATAATAGAGTATATGATAAAATTATTTCAGTTTCTTTATGAAATCTTAGTTTTTTTGATGCACGGACCAAAATTTGTAAATTGCACGAACTTACATCTTTATTAAAAGGATTTTAACTGACTCATAAGTAATTAAGTTAATGAATATATCATATAATTGTATCAAAAACTAAAAATAAAAATATTTTTCTTTCCTTTTTGAGTTTTGGATACCCTTGGCCGTATCAAAGATGTCATCTCGTGAATTTTATTTGACAATAGAGATGTTGGGCATCTAAAACGTTTTGATTTATTTGCATTTAGTATCAGATTGATAGACGGATTTTTAACTCCCAGAGGATAAAGTCGCTCAGCCATATGCATAACGAGAACATTAGGGTGTATGACATTTGAGCCAATTCTGAAAATACCATGTTTTCATTTGCGTCAAAATAAAGTTTTTATTTGCGCCAATTATTCATTTTTCTTTTGAGCCAATTTAACTTTTATTTAAATTTAACAGGTAAGATCTGATACATTTTAGACTGTAAAAGAACACACAACGGCTCCGAATCGTTTCCCTCGCACTACAATGAACAGTTTTACTCACACCACCCGAATATTTACATTTGTATTGATATCAGAAAGAAGTCAAGGCAACAACTTATGTAGAAAAAAGATCTCTCGTCATGCCAGCAGCCGTAAGAAAATATGAAAAGGAGAAAAAGGACTTGTTAGTGAAAAGTATCAGATTTATTGTAGAGAAGATATCAAAAGGTCGCAGAGCATCAGAAGTGTTGCAAACAAAAGCTAGGACAGACTTGAAAATATGTAAATGTGCTTTTTACGTGATAATGTGATTTAAATTTTAACCCTGCTTTTTAACTATAGACCAAAACGCTGATATGATTTTTAAAAACTGCTAACTAGTAACAATTCGAAAGTAGACATGTCACCTGTGCAAGGACAAAGTATTCAGATGCCAAGCAAATCATTCTTTCTTCTTACTGATGAATGCCCTGTGCTCGGCGGAGACGCAGCAAATACCAAAATCTATGGATACGCAGCCGGAAATGAACCCACCTTTGCACGCTGATACCGAGTCTGTCTTAACAAAAAAATGATAACTATAGAAAATAGAAATGATGTCTTTCTCTTTGGTTTCTAGTTTACAGCTTAAAAACCCGAAAAAAATACTGTGTCGTTTAAAATATTGCATGGTCAAAAGGGAAAATTATGTGATATTTTCTATGCAGCTAGCAATACTACTGAGGAGGCCCATAGCATAAGAATGATTAATTTCGGCATTTACATGAGTCTTGCCAAGAAAATACTTTAAGAAATAATTACTTATGTGATCCTCGATACGATAAATAACGGAAATTTAAAAAAAATTTATTTATCTTAAATGGATGAATAAATTTTAAAACATGTCCGTTATTCTTTTATTATTGTTGATATGACAGGAATTCTAGAGTCGGATTTAAGAGGGGGGGGGGGGGGGGACCTAGATGCCCGGATCCCCTTTATAGAGCTACATATATGATTAATGCGTAGATTTTTTACAGCCTAGTTGCACCCCCCCCCCCTTTTCCCCCACCCCACCACCATTTTCAAAATCCTAGATACGCATCTAATTCCATACACAAGTCGATAAAGGATTGAAAACATCTGTGAAAAATCCAAAGATAACAATAGAATAAATCATTATAGACCACAGAACACTACGGCGAAAACTTGGAGATCGAGCAATACAAACCCTACCGAAAATGGTATTGAACTTAGATGTTCCGTGAGGGTAAACGGTTCCTGAAGGCTCTTCTAGTGAAAAAGTAAAAAAAATGAACAAATAAAAAAAAAAACAAACATAAAATATAGGAGATACCGTCACATTAATTATAAACAAATGGTAAAGTTACAAGTGCTTGATATGACATCACAATCTTGTAAAGGATTAGCCTGGCATTCTGGCCTAACCTACTCTTCGTGTCAGTTCTATAGCTGGCTGTTTCTGTATTGACCCTGTTGTAGCTTCGAGGTTAGCTGTATTATTGGGCACGAGACTCGAAGAGTCGAGGGCCAATACAGCTGATCGAGAATCTATAACAGGGCCAATACAGAATCAGCCAGTTCATAACACTTTTATTAAATGATTTTAATTCTTTTAATTAGAATAAACAACACATGAACTAAGAAAGTTACCGTGAAGAAAATACAGAATTTCATATCTGAACTTGTCTTTTCGAGTCGCATTCACGTCCATGGATTATTTGTCAACATTGTCAGATGTAATTTCTGATTTCTCGTCCAAGTACTTAATGTTATGCTATTACAATTCATTTTATCTAGCAAATATAAAGTAGCTGGGAAGAATAAATCAGACAGCTTAAGGTAGCACGGTAGTATTTGCATTCCGGAATTTAGGTTGCTCTTTTGTGTACCCTACCTAAGTCAATGTATTTGAACAGTGTGATTGGACAAAAAATACAGTATCAACTGAACATATTTTCCCAAACTGAGGGATGAATCAGGTGTAGAAAAATATGAAATAATTTTTCATACAGGTGAAAATGAATTTTTGAGATTTTTTTTAAATTTTGTATTCACTGCATGATAAAAGACCTAAAAGCACTAGTGGCCTTAGGTTTATAAAGATAGCAAAAAAAGTAAACGGTCATGATACATATTTAAATTCATTTCTGAAAATTATAATGAAAGTACTTCAGTAAACTGTGTACATAGAATTTTGGGCAGTGCTAGAAAGTGGTGAAAAGTTTAAAAAGGCTATCACTATCCCTTATGGGCCAGGAAATACTACCGTGCCACCTTTACTATTCTTACTCTTGGATCGTCTGCTTTCTGGTGATTAATCAACGGAAATGAACCAGTGTCAATAATCGAAAGTCGTACTCGAAAAGGCTGTGAAATATTTCCGTTTCAAGACTTCAAGACATTTAAAAACACTGAACATCATTTAAACTTTTTATTTTATGATTTTAAATTAAAAAAATATAATACAAATGGTTTAGAAAATTGAAACCGGAAGTGAGCGTCCCGTACTAGGTCATGGGCCAATACGGCTTTTTTTCCGTATTGGTCCCCGTATTGGCCCTGTCCTTAAAGCAATATTAACTCTTGATTTATATCGACAGGGCAACGTCATCAGTATTGCGCATGCTGATTTATCTGTATTAGGGCTGATTTGCTCGTATTATTTAATAAATTAAAATATATCTCTACATCCAAAACTATACAAGTCATGATGTAATGATATTCGTTAAGTAGGAGTTACCTTTTAGTAGTTGAGTACGTGTACCCTTTAAATTGTATTGTCTTTGACAATTTACATTTTCAGAATCTACTTATATTCTGTAATGTAATATTGGTTAACCACACCCAAAAAAAAACCCGACGTAACAATTTATTCCCTGTTAGGTTTACGATAAAGCTTATGTGTCACAGAGTTAAAAAGTGAAGAACGTGTAAACAGCTAGTGTTGTATTAAAATTATTTTTGTTTAATTGCATGTCGACGTTTTCAATAAAATAGCACCAATGAAATTGAGCCAATTGCGTTTAACTTTAAAAATAATTGCACCATCATTTTATAATAAGATGAAAATGGATCTGTTAAATTATATTAAAAAGTTCATTTCATGATACTTTTCCTCTGAAATTTTACCCCGATGAACAAAAATAGATGAAAAATGATACATGTGAAATAATTACAAGTCATAAAAAGTATGGTTAAGGTGAAATAAAAATTACATTTAGAATGTGATCGTAGCTATTGCATGTACCATCAGACCGCCATTATGTCAGAATGACACACAATGATATACGATCAATAATTTTACGAATCGTTTCTCTATATTTGTAATTAAGATACAGGTCACAGATTTGAAAACAAATATGTTTTGTAGTGTAAGAAATCTAGTGTTGACAATCTGATCGTGGTCATGATTAATGAAATGAACATATCGAGCGCCCAGGTAATGTGATAAATTGGTAGAATGATGTGAAGTAACCAATGGTTGATATCTCGTTGGAAAATAATCAGTTTACTTAATGGATGAGAAGGGTAAGTGTGTTTATTAATTATGATTTTAAGTATTAATGAAAATGGATGTCATTGTCCAATTCTTTCTCTTCTGTGAAACATTTATATAAAGATGAAGAAATTGAAGGAAAAAAAGCATACGAGATACCGTCAAAGAAATGAATATTTGTAAAACATCTAGATGAATTGTAAAGCAAGGCGGATCTACATCGTTAGACTTGTTAAACATGTTAAAGCTCTTTTTGTAGTTTGCGTGATTTATGTTTTTTTCACGTTTCAAGTATGCGTTTTTTTATGATGTAACTTTTGGGTATAAAGATGGAAAATAAGGGGGAGCCATACTCAAGTCTTACACCAGAACATACATGAAATATTTGTCACTGGACGTTAAGCAAACAACAATAAATCAATCAAGTCTTTCACGGTTCTAGGGTAGCATGTTGACAAATCAAAATTTTAATGAAAAAAAAATAGGGAAAATACCTACGAAACTTAAATTCTAAGAGTATAAGAAGCAAAAGATTCCGAGTATTTTATTTTGTATTTTTTCTTCTTCTTGAAAATAGCACCTTAAGTTCATAGCGAATAGCAGCACAGATTTTGGAAGTATTCAAAACCTATAAAGTACAATGCAAGCAATGTATATCTTAACTTCACAGCAGACACACTAATTAATAATACGTTCATAATTCTGAACATAGCATGCAATCCTTTCTATACCAATTAAGATGTGCTCTCTTCATAATTTATACAGTCTTAGAATGTTTGTTATGTTTAATTACGTGAATTTAGATGTTGTTAGTACAAAAATGCTGAGACGTGGTATGCTTGCCAATGAGAAAACTATCCACCAGAGACCAGAGTGTAAAGAATGATAGGTCACCGTTCGGACTTCAACGATCAGCAAAAAGTAAAATAACAGAAATACCGAACTCCAAGGAAAATTCAAATTGGAAAGTCCCTTATCAAATGGCAAAATCAAAAGCTGAAACACATCAAACGAATGGAAAACAACTGTCATATTCCTTATTTGGTACAGGCATTTCCTTATGTACAAAACCCATGCTGTATAGTTAACCAGAAAAATGGTCATGGCAAATTCAAAAGAAAAATGAACGGTTTTGTAAAATATATAAAGAATAGAGAATAATGGTAAAAAGAAAAGAGAAAAATTACCTTGAAGAATAAAAAAATACAGAAATAAAGGACCCCCACCCCCATTTTGAGACCCTCCTACATTGGATAGTGGTGTAATAGCGGAATATAAGAAGAATCTCTAAATATTAGTTTGAAAGGGCTTTACTCATCATATTGGTACTAAGCACAAAAACTAACAAGACAAAAGTCACAAAGTACCTATCTAAGAGACTGTACTCTTACATCAACGATCAGTATACTCCATATTATATAGTAAACTGTAAAAAGTTTCGGCAAACTCAAAAGAGAAAACCAACGGGCTGATTTATGCTGAAAACAAATTAACAATAAACAAGTATGACAGAAAGCAACCAACGACAACCACTAGATTTCATACACCTGACTTGAGGCAGGGGACATAAAGAATGGGGAGGGGTTAAATATATTTGTGAGCACTCAAACGTCCTTTTACATGGGACACGGATGTAACAGAGGATTATGAGAAGAAACTCTAATAATCGGTTTGAAAGGGTTGACTCATCAGATTCGTACTAAGCACAAATACTAACAACAAGACAAAAGACACACAATATCGATTTAAGAGTACTTGCTCTTACTTCATTATATTTTTACAGTCAACTACTCTCCGTCTTCTTCATTTTACATATATATATATTATGTGCTTATCATTATCACACACACAAAATGTGTGTTTGGGAGTAAAGGGGACAACCACTTGAGTTTTTCGGAGGGGGAGGGATTTTGAAAAATTTATATCCTTCCGTGGTAAGAGCAAAAAATAAATAACCTTGCATAAGACATAATGAATGCGAAAAAAGCATGCGTAGCAACAGATGAAAATGAATAATCAATCCGCAAGAACCCTCCTTGCCCCTCAGAATATCAAATGATCGTCCAAAAAATATGAATTGAAAACACCACGGCAAAACTTGATTGAGATAAAGAGATCCATTAATAATCATATAAAATCACGCATCAAGATGACATTGGGTAATATTGAAGTTGAAGAACAAATCAAATGAATGATACCCATTTCCGTGCTTTCTCAATGTGTAAATGGCAGTTGTATACATAAACAAACGACGGACAACTAATGAGGATGGTCAATTCCAATTATTAAACAGAGTGCAGCATCTGTATCATGTGTATACAATAATCTCTAATATACAAATTAACAAATCAACAAATAAACTATATTGTAAGTGACTGAACCGAAGGTGATGCAGTACGTTGTAATATGAGTTGAGAATAATAATACAGCATAGAGAATATTTTTTATTTGATCCTTCTGACTAAAGTTTCCACATGTTCCTAGCATTTGTAAATTTTTCTTTCCCAACTCTCGGCTCTAATAAATTCGGTTGAAAGCATTTCAAGAAAGCTCATCGAACGCAACAAAATTGAGTATTTTTTGCTTGATTTATATATGCATGTCTCTTGTACAAAAAAACAGTGCAATAATCAACAAAACATTTACAACATTATACAATAAAGAAAAAATGCTATCTCTAGACAAATTCCTGGACATAGTTTCTGGATTATTATTGTAGTCTTGTAATGCTTATCTCAGACCGTTTATGATGTCTTTACACCAAAGTCGTAGGGTGTATACTCATTGATACTTTAGTCTGGGAGAACATGATGTATAATTGATCAGTTGTGATTAGCATTGAACTGTCTTTCAGTTACTATAATACTCCTTTTTACATCGCGATGACCGTGAGGGCATTCCGATGTATTGTTGCCACAGAGATTTGACTTTCGTTTTTGACTGGTAACCGATCGTATAAATACGCGGACATTATCGTGTGCAAAATAACATTACTTATCGTTTGTTATAAATTCATTTCTTCAATGAATACTCATAAAAATAATTTTTTTTAGAACATAAATTAATAATTTGAAAATGTTTTGTCGTATAAGTAAAAAGTCCTTAATGTCAGAAAAATTGTGTTAACGCATGCGGAAGAATATCTCAAGAACGCTTTGCGGGAAAATATGAATGCCTACTCAAATCCAATCTACTAGAAAAATCGAATTATTACACTCACTTTCAGGTATAGAGATGTGATTTTATTTTCTGAGACAAGTGCTTGTGACCATCCACAAGAACTTGCGGTCATCCGATGTTCAGTACTTCAGTACTTTGATTATCTTTTGTCTTTATGTAATTATTTTTTTTGTGTGCTTCGTAGCAATCTGATGAGTCAAGACAATTCCAACTGAGTTTTACAATTCGTTCTTATGTTGTTCTTATACACCACTGTCCGATGTTATGATGGAGGGTTGAGCGCTCACAAACAGTCATGTTTAACCATTGAATATGTTCCTGTCCCAAATCAGGATCCTGTAATTCAGTGGTTGTCGTTGGTTGGTTGCTGTCATGTTTGTTTTTCCTTTATTGGTTTGTCATAAATCAAGTAGTTAGTTTTTTCGTTTGAATTGTTTCACGTTTTGTTATGTTAGGACCTTTTATTGCTGACTAAACATTATGGGTTTTGCTCATTGTTGAAGGCCGTACGTTGACCTATAGTTACTTAAATCCAGTTCATTTGGACTCTGTTGTATAGATGTCTCATTGGCAATCATACCACATCTCGGATTTTGTATTTAAAGCTTGGCTTTCATTCTGAAAAGTTACAGAAGTACTTATATATCCGGAGTAAAAGCAGTAGTGATCCTGTTTAAATAAGAACGAATTTTCATAGAAATGCGCCGTTTTATGATTGAGGGTTTTCATGCACTTAGTCAGATTGACTTTGGAACCTAATTAGTCATGTTAGTATAAGTGAAATTACAGAACTTGTAAAGTACAGAGTTAAAGACTTCAACCATATCTAAATTGGCAATACATGCATACAATTGTCTCATTAACGTTTAACACTAATCTCATTTCAATCGTACAAAAAGATGCACGTCATACTTGTACAAAACATAAACTTTAGTCGCAAACAAATGAACTGTCATATTAATATGAAAAATGTGTACATAACATTTCTATCATTTCTGCTGTGTCAGGTGAAATATTTTTTTATTCTTTTTGCTTATTCATTGCATATTAAATAAATTTAAACAAATACCGACTTATCTTATCACAAAATACAATCTCCATCTTATACATTGGAAAGCAAATAAAGTAAAGCTTTGTTTTGCAATAAACATGCGCTTGTTTTAAATGAAAATAAGCGACCCCTCCCAATATATCATATACAGATGATTTAGATCAAAAGGTTTATGTATTGTGTAACAAATAAGGTTGTTATGTTACCATAAACAGAAGCTTTTTTAATTTGATATACTGAAAATGATTTCGACAATCAAAAAGGTCAAACAAACACAAATAAACTATGACAAACGGTTGAGTTTAAGCCACATATCATTTAGTACTCATTCAACGCCCGATTCGAACAGTGTCAAATATATTTTTAATTGATTATCCTTTTTTTAAATTTCACAGCAATTTACATTTAACATTACGTTCACAATTTTACTTCAAACTACGAAAATATTTGTATCCCATGTCCTAAAATAAAAATTTTAACGTATATAAAGAATTATAAATAAAAGGAGGTGTAGGTTATATGTCTACACGTCAGCAAGCAAACAACACAAAAAAGACAACAAAAGACATCTATAGGTAGAAGATATGCGGACTTCATAACTTTAAAGAGAGTATCAAGGGTTGATTTTTGAAGAACGATATAAAAGTGAGAATTCAAAGGTGACCGGAATAACAAGAAAAAGACGAATACGAACAGCAAACCGGAAGTGTAACAAAAAGTAAAATAACAAAAATACCGAGCTCCAAGGAAAATTCAAAACTGAAAGTCCCTTATCAAATGGCAAAAGTTCAAACACATCAAACGAATGGAAAACAACTGTCTTATTCCTGACTTGGTACATTCATTTCTTTATGTAGAAAATGGTGGATGAAACCTGGTTTTATAGCTAGCTAAACCTCTCGCTTGTATAACAGTCATATAGAACAATTACTAAACTAAACTTTTGCAAAGTGAACGTTTAGATCATGTACAGATAGTAAAAATTGCGGAATAGAAAATAGCACAACAAGAAGGGTTATATGTTTACTAAACACTTCCTGTAAAGTTTACTTAGAAATGTGAACCATCTGCCCAGTCAGTTATTTCTTGTGACGTCGAGGAATTAATGATATTGGATTTTGTTTTTAGACATCAACATTGATTATTCATTCATAGATATTGTAAACGTTGTATTAGAAAAACATTACCACAAGTACAATGGAAAATTGAGTGATGTTTATTCAACGTCCAACGACAAATATTTCATTGATATTCAAGACGACACCACGTTAAACAATAAATAAGTCTAGAAGGTTCTACAAAAATGGTCTCAAAAGAAAGTGGTTAATTTGGACCGCTGCTGGAAAAAGATGGCATGTTGAGAAAAGCGAAAAATTCGTTTTACAATGGATCCCTTACAGAACCGTCAAAGTTGCTGCAAGTGTTCCTTTACGTACGGAGAGTCAGTAGTCCTTTTCACAAAAAATCTTAAGTGTAAAATTAATCTTACGATAAAAATATTTAGTTGAATTGTTAAGGAATATTTTAGACTTACGATAAATTTTACACTTAAGATTTTTTGTGAAAAGAGCTACTGGTATCGAATATATCGTCCATATTCCTACCTGACATTTATAAACCATGCTCGGTCAAAAGGGCGCACATCATCTTGCATCTTCTTACTGTCGGACAGGAGAAGTCCTGTCCTGCGTTTCACAAAAATACATTGCGACTAAAATAGATCGTAAGCCATAAGCATTTCAGAAAAATTACGATAAATAAAATTTTATTCGGTAGTTTTTCTGTGAAACGCAGTCCAGGTGACCTTTTTTCCATATTCCCGTCAAGCACTTGGGTGAAATGGTCTTGCGTATTCTAATTCAATATCGAATGTGCAGAATTTTCTGTTTTTGATGTTTTTTTTTTTAATTTTATTTCATGATTGCACTCCAATATGACTGCATACAGAAGATGTAATTTTGTAATAATTTTATTGTGGGTTACTGTCTCATGACGTACACTCTACATCATCCTTATTTAGAATTTTTTGGGTGTCGTCTGATATTTCTTTTCAAAATTTTGGCCTTAAATGAATACAGTGTATGGTTTATGGTAGAAGTGATGGTGATGGTATATGAATTAGAAGAAACTGTTTTACATTTGTAATTTGTACTTTGTCATGGTTCTGTATTTTTTTTTTAAATCTAACCCATATGTGTTTAATTAAGACGTTTTTATCAAACTTCATGGAGTGAAAATATCTGTTTAAATTTCGCTTCATTTCATTAGATCCTGCATGAACTATTTGCAGCCGTAAGACTTTAAGTCAATAAGAATGAATCAATCCGTTTTTGATTTTTTGTTATTAATGTGTTTTTTTGTTTCATAATTATTTCTCTTCTGGTTTTGAATATGTTTGTCTGATTGATTTTTTCATTGACTTTATTTTGCTAACGGTTATTGCATTCATATCCAGGTTGACTTCGACTCCACTCGAAGCAGCAAGTTATTGGGTAGGATTTGAAATTTTTTCTTACATTGATTCCTTATGAAAATTCCTTAGCATTGTCGCTTTGTTTTCTAACCACAGTGAAAGCATGTTCTCCTAAATGTTTCTTCGATTTAAATGTACCCTTTCTACCATATAAAGAGGGACGAAGGCTGTATGAAGACGTTTGTTATAGGAAAACATCTGCTTTGCACTAAATAGAATATTTTAACATCCTCCCACTTAGTACAATAAAGTTTGTAATAAAACGCCATTAGCTTTTACTTTTAAAGTTTACGATGTTGACAACATAAAAATGCACAGTGGATTACATTTAATATATTGCAGTGTGTGCCGAGTTCAGAGATGAAATGGTGAAATCCCATAATACACTGCGAAGTCATCATGGAAGTAAACAACTGAGAATATCTGAAGACCTGAACAGGGATACTCAGATGTGGGCGAATATCATTGCAGACAAAGGATATGTTCAGTTCAGTGAATTTCCTGGTATTGTAGACTTTTTTTCTCTCTCCTTTTTCTTGTTGCTAGCTATCAATTTATGAACTACATATCTAAAGTATCTTAACACTCTTCGTTACTGCCCTACACACCAATGGCATACAGGGCAGTAATTAGGTAAGTAAGTAATATCTAAAGTAGTCGCGTTAGTCTAGATTGTATAACATTACCAATCTAATTAAAATATAGAACTCGGATTCCGTTATACTACATACTTAGTATAACGGAATCCGAGTTTTATATTTTAATTAGATTGTAACAAAACAACCCAGAGGACAGCTATTGATATTCCCACAGCAAGAAATGTTGGATGGTGTTGTCTATTGACTATCATACTTCGTCTCCTTTTCTTATAATGTACGATTAATAATCGTAATATTCGTTTTTTTTTATTTATAATTTCCCCTTTCTGTCACCAAATAATAAATAAACTTTGCAATTCTCTGTAGATCTCTAATATTCTTTTTAAAAAACGCAAAAATCGCATGATTTATAAACAATTTGAGATTGTAATTGATTGATTGACTTAACGTCCAGGCAAACATGTCATGCATATCAGGATGAGAACAAATTAATAATAAATTAAATAGGTAATAAAAGTCGACCAGTAATGAGAGCGGGAATTTAGCCCGGTTGCCACTGGTAGTAAGGGTGATAGAAAAATTTGGCTTGCAACAGGCCAACTAATTAGGATCTATAACCGAGTTAGTACAAGTGCTCAAGTCAAGAGAATAACCCTTCTTATAGCAAAAGTTTTACTCTACTAACAAAATTTTACCACGCCCCTTGCAAATTCCATGATTTGGTAACTTAAGGGAAACCCCAAAAATATAATTCAGAAAAAAGAGGAGATGCACAATGGTATTATAGGATAAAGATTCTCAAAAAGTTTTAATAAACTCTAATAAGAGGTTGGAGTTGCGGATAAAAAATGGGTACCCTCTAAAGCAATTGTAAAGTCTATGATTTCCTAAGGAAAATTCTAAAAATTAATCGGATCAAAACAAAATATGAAGTGCACAATACCATTATATTTATATGATTAAGATTTTGAGAAAATTCAATACATTATAATAACAATTAAGGAGGAGTTGCAAATACAAAAGGAAGCAATCTATGATTTGCCAAGGGAAACCCCAAAATGATTTGGATAACAAATTGGTATAATTTCTGAGTATGGCAAACTTAACCCAAAAATTTATTCGAATGAAAAAATGAAATACGAGGCGCAAAAGAACATCATTCGAGTAAGATTCTGTGAAAGTTTCATAAAATTCTGTCAAGCGTTTCATTTGTGGACAGCCGTCTCCCCCATTAATATAAATCGCCCGCTTCCGCTATACTATAAAATCAACAGCAAATTCATGTTAATCAAAAACTGATTCTGCATGTTATAAGTTTTGTGTGCTCAAATTTCTTCCTGACAAAGGCACTTTGATGCATATGATTTTTACATCGGATGACCGTGAGGGCATTCCGGTGTATTGTTGCCACAGACATTTCTACCCACGTGGCTTTCGTTTTTGACTGATAACCGAACGCAAAATAACATTCCTTATCGCTTGTTAAATATCAATTTCATCAATAAATATTCATGAAAATAATTTTTAAGAACATAGATAAATGATATGAAAATGTTTTGGTCTTGAGAAATATATATATCAATAACAAATCAAGAATACCGAAAATTGGTGTTAACGCATGCGGAAGAATATCTCAAGAACGTTTTGCGGGAAAATATGAATGCCTACTCCAATCCAATCTATTAGAAAAATCGAATTATGACAGAAGAGTGGCACTGCACTATTATTAGCATAGTAGAATAGAATGACATACACATGGATGAAAATTATATATGCATGTAACTGTTATATACAAATATCAATATAATATATAACAACAAACCAGAGTATCACTACAATATAATAATTATTACGGTGAGGTTGAATTCCCTGTCATTTATTCATCATCCACGCACGAACTTGTCTCAGAAAAAAATATATCTATGTATACCTTAACCTCACTTTCAGGTATAGAGATGTGATTTCTTTTCTGAGACAAGTGCTTGTGACCATCCACAAGAACTTGCGGTCATCCAATATCCAGTACTTCAGTACTTTGATTAATATTGTTTACTAACAGATAGTTTAAATAAGTGAATAATGGGTCCTAGATGTTTGGTAAAAAAACAATACACTCTACATATAGTGGACACAAATGGAGATTGCAAAATACTTTAACAACGTTTTAATTTGAATTTTCGCCCCTTCTATTGGCTACATGTTTCACCAAACGGATTTGAATATATAAGTAGAGTAAGACCCATTGGTGACCTTGGGCTGTTTTCTGCTCTTTGGTCAGGCTGTTGTCTCTTTGACACATTCCCCGTTTCGATTCTCAATTTTATTTGTCATTTTCAAACATCCAACAAACATCTTCAAACTAGAGCAAAAAGTAGCTGGGTTATAGAAATAAGATGGGTTTTTGCCCATCTAGCAGAAAAACCTGTGCTACGTTTGGTTCCGTTTGCCTGTGCGGGTTGTATAAATACTTTGTCACGTGCAGTAGAAAAGGTGACGTTAAATCATACTTTTGTCCATTTTAACAGATTGCCATGCTCTCTGCACGAGGAAGAACCCTTGTAATGAGGGTCGCACAGGTGTCATTTTGCAAGGGAAACTTCAGTTGTTAATCATAATGCATCTTTTTCCAGAGGAATTCTAAATTTCCGGCCGTCATTTGGTCAAATCATTTTTAATAACTTAACTGTCCTGAATAATCATGAATCATTTGCCACTGTAAGTTCAGCAAAATAACAACCAATCAAAATCTCTGTATGAAGTAAGATAACGAAAATACCGAACTCCAAGGAAAATTCAAAACGGAAGGTCCTTTATCAAACGAATGGAAAACAACAGTCATATTCCTGACTTTGTATATGCATTTCCTTATGTAGAAAATGGTGGATTAAACCTGGGTTTATAGCTAGCTAAACCACTCACTTGTATGACAGTCGCATATAATTCCATTATATTAATATGCTCTTTAACGTGAATTATAATACTCAATCGCAGTAGAATAGAACGCTATTTTTCAATTCTTATTGTACAACATCGTTCAAATAAAATATCTGTTTCAAAATTACTTTTCACTGATTAAAACCCTTTTTGAACATTTTACAATACAACATTTAATTTCCGTAGGTAGAGGTGAAAATGTAATATTTGTGGAAACGAATGGACAAAGGCCGAGTGGAGATACCGTCACAGAATTATGGTATAAGGAAATTGAAAACTATGACCACCTACACCCACAATGGAATAAAGGTAACTTTAGGCAGTAATCAACCTATTTTTATGATTGATTGATTGATTGATTGATTGATTTATCTAACGACATGTGAACACACATGGACTATATCGCGGTGAGAACAATTTAAAAAAAATGCCAAAAAAACACTTACTTTTAACTTACTATTGACACAGGGATAATTATTTAACAGCTGGCCCTTCCGAATTACATAACTTACACCCAGTTTCTCGTGGTTTTTGAGTTGCTCAGTCTTTATTTTTTTGTGAAGTGTTGAATGGATTGTTGTTTGTCTATTCGTCTTTTTTTCTTCTTTTGGTTTTCCACAATGAGCAAAAACAATACCGCATTAGTTAGTTATACAAGGCCCCGCAATGACAAATGTGAAACAATTAAAACGAGAAAACTTACGACCTGTTTTATGTACAAAACAAAAGAAAAACAAATATGACATACAGCAACAAACGACAACTACTCAATTACAGGCTCCTGGCTTGGGACAGTTGCATACAGAATATGGTTGGGTTAAGCATGTTTGCTGGTGCCAACCCTCCCCTTACCTTGTAACAGTGCAACATAAACAGTAAAAATCAGTTGAAAAGGGCTTAACTCATCAGATCGATACAAAGCACATATCAAACCAGAGGTTCTACAATTACTAGTATGAGAGATAGATTAAAAAAAAAACAAGAGCGTCATTGCATATGAGATATAATTCTCTTTTTCATAATCTAGCTTGTTACATGAATTGCACTGTATTATAACACATAGTACAAATGAACTTATGATAAATTTGCCCACACTTTCATAATCCAGTTTTCTACATTGTATTTTGTTTTCGTACATGGAATAAACTGTTGTGTGTATTTCTGATTTGATCCCAGTTAGATAAAAACTACTCCTCCCCCCCCCCTAAAAAGCGAAAAAATAACAAAAACAAAATCAACCAAACAAACGTTTGTAATAACAAACACACATGTAAATATCCAAGTTGGAGACTCATTGACTTAAAATAAGCTTTTATCCACTAAGCATCTTTGAAGGTACTAGTACTTGCAAATATCAGAAATGTACAACCGCGTTGATAATCAGGAGTATAAACATTGTTCCTTCGCCTGAGAGTTTCTACTCTTCCTCAATGAACATCCATTTAGCGTGCAGGATGTATAAATACGCAACCACGTTCGACAATTTGTCTCTCGATTTTTTGGCCTCGAGCATCACTGAAGGGACAAAAATTGAAAATACTCTTCTGGTGCAGAAAAATGGCACCGTTAATGTTATCGTAGCAGTCAAAAGATACAGATACTCGAGGGGTGGTTATACACTTGCATTTGCAACATGAAGAATTACTTGCATGAAACACTGTGAATATAAAAAAAAAAAACACGAGTGCACGTTAACAATGGATTTCCTTAATTTTGAACGTGTTTATCCAATTATAATTTGCATAGCTGATGCTACATACGAAACAACTAAAAGACGCTTGGAGTGTTCATGTTTTGTAATTTCAATATCCACATGCTGAAATATCCGTATCCATACATCAGTTTTACGCGGCTTGTGTACTACGGTCACCGTCTATTCAGTGTTTCTCGTCTTTTATATAGATTACACCGTTGGTTTTCCTGTTTGAATTGTTTTACACTAGTCATATTGGGGGTTTTTAAAGCTTGCTGTTCGGTGTGAGCTAAGACTCCGTGTTGAAGGCCGTACTTTGACCTATAATTGTTTACCTTTATACATTGTGACTTGGATGGAGAGTTGTCTCATTGGCACTCATACCACATCTTCTTTTTTAAATGTATTATTCCCAATATTATATTTTTTTATAATCACAGACAGTTTGGGGATAGTTCCAGAAAAGTTTATTGGCCATTGCATGCCCCACACCTAGTTCATGTATCGACACTAATGGTTCCAATTCTAAAGGTTTATACACTGAAATATATTTTCATATACTTATTGGTCTGACTTCTAATTTATTTTCCAGATTCGATGAACTTCACACAGATGATATGGAAATCTTCTAACGAGATAGGAATTGGAATCTCTAAAGTTAAAGGACAGAACAAATACGTTATTGTTGCTCATTACAAACCTTCCGGTAATATCAATACTCCAGGAGAGTTCCGAAAGAATGTATTACCGCCAAATTCTTAAAATAATACAAATGATAAGTTGAAGAATGGTTATCAACAAAGATACACGTGACAGAAATTCTTAGAATGTGATTTAGAAGTGTAAATGTACAATGTAATAAAGGCAAAGTCGATTATTCAAGATCGTCATCATAGGTCTTGTGAAAATGCTTCCATGCATACGAAATGTAATTAACGAGTGTATTTGTTTTTTAATTGTCGTTCATTGTATATTGAACAAATATGTAATATAAATAAATATACAAGTCATTTTTACATATATTAATATACACCTATATTTATTTTCCCTATTTTTCTGGGAAAAAGCAAAATTCCGCATTAATACATGTATTAATGCTATTAATGCTACTCACAAAATTTCATTCAATGTAATTTTGATAAAAGTAAATTACTGACATGACGCGTTTGGAATGATTGTATTATCCCTAAGCGTCAACCGCAATTTTAATAGAAAAAAATACTTAAAATATAAGTATCAGGGTACAACAATCAATATTGATTGATTGGTGATTGCTTTACGCCGCATCCGCACAAAAAGGCTATATTGCGGCGTGACTTAAAATATACGTTTTGATCCCAAAATGTATGCAGGTTAATAATGTACACCTTCAATTGCGTGATATGGATGGTGAAACCAACAGCAATAATTTTGATTATATTTAACATTTTTTCATACATTGAAAAGTACGAGTGTGCTTTTTAATGAAAAAAAGGTGCTGTGTCCGAATAACGAAAGATTACAATCATATTTCGGAAAACAGGGTACAACCATCTGATATTTTTTTTACGCAATAATATTTTAAGTTGCATAAATATGGATAAGAGGATGTATAATGCACCAAAATAAATCGTTCCGACAGATTCCACACCATGTTACAGTTAGGAGTCCATTTTTCATTAAAAAAAGCTAGGTGTTGCAAGTGGTTTTTTTTTAACATAGTGTCAATAATATCATCTTTCAACTATATTTAGATTAAGATACAATTACAATAAAAATGTCAAAGATAGTGATTCTCATTTATAGTGTAAAAGTCTACTTTGTTGGCAATATGAAAAAGTATTTTTAAAAATACCGAACTTCGAGGTGAATTCAAAAAGGTGGGAGTTCTTAAAATCTGACAAAACCAAACGATAAATATCAACCAATGGAAAGAACGGAAAACAACAGTCATATTTCTGACTTGTTACAGGCATTTTTCGATGAAAATGGTGGGTTAAACCTGGTTATATAGCTAGCTAAACCTCCTACTACCGGTATATTATACCAATAATGTTATTAAAAACAAACTACGTGGGTTTCTTTTCGTGGATTTTGCAAACTTAAACGCATTGCATGGAAGTGAATGACCAAGGCACACATACATGATAAATCTGCAACCTCCGATTGGACAAAGAGTATACTCCAGATATTTATATCAACGGTATAGGCCTTTGTCTACAGTTTTGCTGTAAACAAGGTTTTTCTGAAAGAAACTTCTTTTAAGTTTTTCGTGTACAATAACTTACTTTAAACCAATATAATTATCGCAGATAGGGTCAAAGAAATGAGAACAAATAAGAAGCTATATAGGTCCTATACCAATTTTGGGAACAATGAGGACATGTGACAAGTTCACATGGTGATTTGTAGAAATGTCGTGTGAATGATAGTCTCGTTTCATTGGAAACCATACCACATCTCCTTACATTTACGCTAATTTTGATGTCACAAAAATTTTCAGTAAGAAACGTCTTTTAAGTATTTTGAGTTTAAAATGTTTAAAAAGTCAAAAATACATTTCAAAAATAATCTAAAAATCGCAGAAAAGGACAAAGAAATGAGACAAAAAAAGAAACTATGAAGAAGGTAGTGAATAACCAGAAAACGTAGAAAGACTGGCGAATGGACAAGAAAACGAGACAAAAAAAAGACAAAAAATTTAATAAAAGGGGCCGCAACATAATAAAAAGAAAACTATATATATATATATAGAGCAACATGATCCCTGCCGAAAAAAAGGAAGATGCAATTCTAGCTCCTCTTGTGACACCAATGAAGGTCGTGTTTATTAATTATTAAGTTTGAAATAAACCAATTTTACGATAGCCTAAGAGTTCATGCGCATCTTAATGTTGATCGTCGGGGTTATGGCTTAGACCTTAAAGTATTTATGAGTAGTTACAATGAAGGAATTGCAGGGGGGGGGGGGGGCGTAAACTATTTGTATAAAACTGTATATTTCAGAGAGAAGAAGACCTGGAGGTTTCATACCTTGCATACAGTCCTTGTGTTATGAAGTTTGCGTCGTCAAATGGCCATTGTCCTTGAACTCATTTTCATGGTTCAGTGACTGCTTGTAAAAAAATGTTAGTTTTTGTCATGTAAACTTCTCTCTTATGAGTAATAGGATAACTACATTTGGTATAAGGGTTCCTTGCAAGGTAGACATATCCGTCAGACAGGGTTCACTTGACATCAACCTCATTACGTGGATCAGTAATTGAGTTTTTGAGTTCTGATCTGTTTTTCAAATACTATAAGTAGTATGTCATCTATATTTGGTTTATGGAATGATTTTAAGGTATACTATAAAAATAAGAAGATGTGGTATAATTGTAAATGAGACAACTCTCCACCAGAGACCAAATGACGTAGAAGTTAACAACTATAGGTCACCGTACGGCGTTCAACAATGAGCAAAACCCATACCGCATAGTCAGCTATAAAAGGCTCCGAAATTGCAAATGTAAAACAATTCAAACGAGAAAATTAACGGCCTGATTTATGTAAAAACAATGAACGAAATACAAATACGATATACAGCAACAAACGACAACCACTGAATGACGGGCACATGCAAAATAGTCTATCTGGCAGGTATCAACTGTCCTTGAGCTTTTTTTTAAGGCATTGGTCAATGTTAAGTTTCCGTTGTTTGGTCCTCTTCTCAGATACTATATATAAGCAATAGGTCAAATATTGTTGGTCTATGGAATGAATGGAAGACGTGCGTGTCTGTCTAGTAGAGTTCACTCTATTTTCATGGTTAATTGGTCAATGTTAAGTTTTCATTGTAAGGTCTGTTTTTTTTTTGATACTATGAGCTATAGGTCAACTATATGTGATGTACGGAATGATTGTAAGGTGAACGTGTCTTTCTGACAGGGTTTATCATATACTTTGACCTCATTTTCATAGTTCATTGGTAAAAATTAATTTTTTTTGTAAGGTCAGTTTACTAGATACTGTAAGTATTGCTCTTTAATAATGTTAAGTTAATGCTATGTAATATTAGTAAAACATTTTATCTTAAAGACTGTCAGCATAAAGTCAATCATGGTCATTTAAATAAGCGAGACATTTCACCTGGTTCACTCTTGTTGAAATAAAAATAAGAAATTATTATAAGTGTTTACAAAAAAAAAAAAAAAATGAAACTGCAACTGCAACTTACTTAATTGAAAATTATTGAAAGTATAGAAAGAAAATCTGATTTTAAATGACATATTCTATATGTCTAAAAATAAATTGTCTTTGATTTTAGAGAAAACAAAAATTCGTTCCGGGGAAAATATTACAACCATTTAAAGTTAAATTGATATTGGTTGTTCTATGGTGAACGTCTTGAGCACTTTATCACAGCCATATTGACGATGAGCAAATTCAATACAAAAAATATAAGGATAATTCCATATGTTCCAAAACAAATTACCCACAATTCTTACTTTCAAAAACTCAAGTTATACTCTACATGTATATTGTATATCAAAACGATGTAGACTTTACAGTTTTCTGGCCAATTTCTATTTCTATATTCAAGAAATTTGCAATGGATATCGCATTTTTTGGTTCACAAGAAACCTCTTTGTCGTCACTTTTCTTTCTGCAGAATTTCTTTGACATCTTTATACAGTGAACATGCATAATATCTCGGAATCTCTTGGCAAATAAACAGTATATGACAAAATTAAACGCTGACTGGATGATATACAACAGCCGAATTATGACGGACGTTCGGGTAATTGTTGTGAAATCTTCTAAATATACCTCCCTCGTAATAAAAGATATAATTATCACAAACACGTTATGTGGCAATTGGAAAAATATCAAAACAACAATAAGCAAAGAAACATTCACTTCGTTTCGTTCTACCTTTTTCGTATGTTTTGCCATTCGTAAAGACTTCCGGTATGACCTAATTTTCCATAGCAACAAGAAGTTTAAAATCAACATGAAGACACATATAATTAGACTTGAAATTACGTAAAATCTCTCGTAGGTTGAGCGATATGAAAGAATTAAACCATTACCTGACTCGAATAATTCTCTTGGATTCTCGTACACTAGAAAAATTTCTTTAATTAACTGTGGTCCGTGAACCAATATACTCGTACACACGGCTAATATGATTACTATTCGAGTACGCCTTATTGTTAAGCAATTTCCAACTTTCATTGGAAATAACACTGCAATACTTCTCTCAGATGTCAAACAGAATGCAAACAATAACCCGGTGTAAATTATATTATAACCAATAAAACGCTCTATGCTTCGAATAATGAATTGTTTACGATCGTCATTTGTAATTGAAGGAAATGGATTCTGTATGGTTGATGATAGTATATTCTTAGAAGTTGTTATCATATAATCATAATTTGTAAACTCATTTCTTGAATTTGTGTTGATGGAGTGTGGGATCAACGATCGATTCATCTGTGACTCATAATATTGCAAAAACTGTTGGAAAGACGTAAAATTTAGCCCTTCCAAAGACGACAAAACGTCATCTTGAGTTTTCTTCCTAATCTGTAAGGTCCGTACAAAGTTATTGGCTTTATTGTAACCTTTTATAGCTGGATAGACATCCGAATAAATTGCATATAACATATTTAAAATATCATGTATCGCCAAAGCCTGAAGTAGACAAACAGGAGAACTACGCAATGATTTCCCACAAAGTACAATTAAAATAACAATATTCCCGATCAATCCGAGTCCAATAAAGACGGGCATTACAACTCCAGACGTAATGTACATAAAGTGAATTTCAGATAGAATATCATCAATAGCTAAATCCATTTTTATGTCTTTCTGGTAAATAGGTTATTTCCCTGATAGACTATCATAAAAATAGACGATCAGACGTTTCTTCAGCATGACGAAACACTTTTGTGGATCTATTTGACTAATTTGTGTATTCCCAGTGTCTTTCTTAATAGGTTCTTTCAGATATCTTGTAGATGAGAGCCGGGTAAATCTATTACCTACAAA